TGTCACTTCCCATATCTCTGAGTGCTATAGGCAGGCACAATCTTGAGATGGGGCCTATTGTTTGAGACTGAGCTATTCTAGGGACCTAAAAAGAAGGAAAAAAATGTCATAGTGTCTGGGAGGGAGATATCCACAGGAAGGACTTATGGAGAGGGGGAGTGTCTGATATGGACCCACTGAAGTTTAAGCAGCAGGGAATTCAGGTAGTGATGAGTGCAGAGTCGGTGGCCCCACCATCTCTGGGGAAAAGAGAGCCCCATCATGTGAGGATCACTGCAGAAACAGAGCTCTGAGCCCAGGGCTAACAGAGCCCTCAGCTTCCACTTCCCCATGGCAAGAGGTATGTTACTGGGAGGGAGTGAGAGCTCTGAGCCTCCAGTGTCCTCCTCAGCCTTCTCCCTCCCACCGGGTGGTCAACTGCTGAGCAGAGTCTAAAAATGGTGAAATCAGCAGGCAAAGTGCCTAGGTTCTTCAGCTCTCCCCCTTAAATACAGAAATCAGTGTGCCCCCCTCCCCCGCCCCATACATTTGGTGAATACCTCTAGACTTAGACACTTGCTGCCCTGGAGGGTACAAACTGAGGGGCCTGTGGAACATGTGGAGCCTCCACAGCCTGTAAACCTGCCTGCAATCAGCAGCAGCTTCCAGAGCACAAAGACAGGAAGCTTCTAAAGTAAAAGCGACTGACACAGCCTCAGCCCACATCAAGCACCAGCCTGTACATCAGGAACTACAAGAGACTCCAGTTAGTTTTCTTCTCTCTGAAGTAATGCTGGGGACTGGGTCTGGTGGCCTGAGCATTTGGGTGTGTGGGCATTGCCACGTCTTGTTTAAACATTGAGAATACTTCAACTGAAAGACTACAGGTGATAAAAATCTCCAGCAGTGACTTGGCCTGAGATGTACAAATCCCAACACAGAAACTAAAGAAATATGAGAAAACAAGGCAACATGACTCCTCCCAAAGACAATACTTCTGCAATAACAGACTCCAATTATTAAAGAGAACATGAATAAATGCCTGAAGAAATTCCAAGAGAATACAAATGAACAGCTGAATGAAATAAGACAATACAGGATGTGAAAGAGGAATTCAATGAGGACATAGAAATCCTAAAAAAAAAATTTAATGAAATTCTGAAAATGAAAAGCTCAATAAGTGAAATAGAAACAAACAAAAACCCTCAGTTAAAAGCTTTGCCAATAGACTGCATCAAGAAGATGACACCTCATCAGGGCCTGAAGACAAGGTAGATGAGTAAGAACGTTCAGATAATGACAAGGACAAAATTAGAAAGTACTAATGGAACATGTAAGACTTCTGGAACACCATTAAAAGACCAAATCTATGAATCACTGACACAGAAGAGTCAAAAGAGGTTCAAATTAAGGCATAGAAAACATATTCAATAATAGCAGAAAATTTCTCAAACACTGGGAAAGAGATGGTCATCCAGGTACAGGAGACTTTTAGAACATGAAACAGACAAGACCAGAAAAGAACCTCTTTTTTTTTTTTACATCACTGGAGTTTGAACTCAGGGCCTCAGGCTTGCTAGGCAGGGTCTCTTATTGCTTGAGCCACTCTGCGAGCCCTTTTTTATGATTGACTTTTTCAAGATAGGGTAGTCTCAAGAACTATTTGCCCAGAGTTGGCTTGGAACCTTGATTCTCCTGATCTCTGCCTCCTGAGTAACGAGGATTACAGGTGAGAGTCACTACCAGTGGCCCATCTGGAAAAGAACCTCTCTACATAATATTATAGTTAAATCACTGAGTATATAGAACAAGAAAAGAACATTGAAAGCACCAAGTCCCATATAAAAGTAAACCCATCAGAATAATAGATTTCTCAACAGAAACTCTAAAAACAAAGAAGGCATGGAATGATGTATTTCAAGCCTTGACAGAAGAAGAAGAGTTTGAGGCCATCCTGGGCTGCTTATCAAGACCCTATCTCAAAAAAAAAAACCCAAACAAAGCCAAAGCCAAATTAAAAGCAAACAGCAAGCAATAACCACTCATTTGAAGGTGATCTTCTTCCTCTTAATAAGTTTCCATCATTGGTCAATTTACTCATCACATCCTACCAAGCAAGTGGAGAAGGAAATTGTCATACACTATGATTAGTAAAATATGGTATGTTCCTCGCAGATATGATAATATAATCATGAGACTAAAAATTCTTAAGAATTCTGATACCATAGGATAGAATTCGTTCTACTATAACACCCGGCGTTTTCTAAAATTCCCATTAGCTATTAGCTTCGTAATGACTTTACTCGCCAGGGATCTGCCATGCTTGGTCCGTCTTCTTCCTAGTTCCCTGGACTCTGGAAAGCAGCCTGCCAGGGTCTGATTTCCTGCTCTTCTTCCCCCTTGACTTACTCTAAGAACAATGAAACTTCGGTGAGGGTATGAGAAGGAAGGCTTTGGATAGGGTTGTCCAATGAAATGTCCATAGGCTTCAGAATGGGGAGGAATAGGGCTCAGGCACCAGTTGTGCCATGTACGCATGTAAACACATACCATGTGTACTACGTGTACAGGGATGAACAATGTAGCTGTGGGTCCAGAACGCTGTGATTGACTTGGCTTACCTGACAGGGAGACTTGTAAGGATTTTAAGTGAGAAGAGGTGCCAAATACTGAACAAATGCTACTGGTTCTTCTCTTATTCTAGCAGGCATGCCATGCTTCTTGATTTGTTCTTGTTTTTCTTTTTGTTTGGCAGTACTGATGGTTTGAACTCTGGACATCTTGCTAGGTGGCCGCTCCACCCTTTCAGCCACTCCACCAGCCCTTTTAGCATTGGTTATTTTTTGAGATAGGTTCTCACTTTATGCCTGGGGCCAGCCTGAACCTCAGTCTTCCATTTGTGCTTCCCAGCATAGCCGGGATGACAGATGCACACAACCATTGGTTGAGATAGGGTCTTGCAAAATTTTTGTCCAGGCTCCTTGAACTGCAGTCCTCCTGATCATTGGAGAGGCCCTCACTTGCAAAGGCCACTGGTTAAATAGGAAGTGAACTGGTGTAGCTACTGACTACACAAAATCGGGTCTTACTGGATAGACTTGAAGGCTGAGCTTCAAGTCCAGGTATATTTTCCCAAAAAAATTCCCTGGAAGAATTCATATGTGCAGCCTTGGTTGAGACCACTACATAGCTCCTCTTTCAATCATTTCAACCAAATGATTGAAAGAGCAGTTGCTTATTTTATGGGGAGCAGAGTTTTCTTCATCACTGCTACAACAAGTCACATTAGTTTTAGAAACCCCATACTTTTGCCAGTGGGACAAGATGCTTTGGTTAATGTAATGTTCTGGCTAACTGATGGTTAATTCCTTTACATTCTTGAACCACAAGAGTAGAGTTGGGGAATCCCTAAATCAGGCTCCAGGCACAGAACTGTCCTGGTGAATGGGGGAAGAGGGGAGGATAAAGGACAAGAGTGGAGGGGTGAATTCAAGTACGATATATTTGATATATTGTAAGAACTTCTGTAAAAGCCACAATGGACCCCTGCCCAATACAACAATTAAAAAAAAGCTGTCCTGGTTGAATGGTGAAATATTAATATTACACATTACATTCTACTTTAGTGGACAGTCGACTTTGAAATGAGTTTAAGGAGTGACAGTAAAGTACCAAGGTTAAAAAACTACACTGAGGATCTGTACAAGGATAGCGTGAAAATTTGTAAAGTGCTCCATCATTTTAAAAGATAAAGGTAAAAAACGTAGCATGTGCGAGACCCTGGGTTGAATCTTAAGTGCTCTCGCACACAGAATGAGCAAGGGGAAATTGGAAGGCTTGAGTCTTCTCAGAGGAAAGCACACAAGATGTAGTGGTACAGGTATAAGGGTGATTTTATACACAACACATAGTGAAAATGAACTGTAAGAAACTTGACCTTGAGATGGAGGTGCAGCTCAAGTGGTAGAGTGCCTTAAATTCCAGTACCACTGATGAAGTGCTCAGGCTTGGCTGGAATGGCAAATGTAAAGGAGAAAGGAAAGACAGAAGCTTATCTACAAGAACTGCCGGATTTCAGAAGTCAGTTTCAAGTGAAAGTATTTGTTGAGAAGTATCAGAAGAGAATGAGGATTTGTGAAAGGTGACTGAATGTGCTATTATTTAGTGCAGTATTGAGGATTGAACCCAGGGCCTCAAGCATGCTAGCAAACCTTTCACCACTGAGCTACACAACCACCCCTTCTAAATGTTTTTATTTTGAGACAGGGCCTTGCTATCTAGCCCTGGCTGCCCTGGAACTTGCCATCCTCCTGTCTCAGTCTCCCAAGTAGCTGACATTGCAGACAGGTACCACCTCACCTGCTTAAACATCTTAAATTTTGAGAGGAATAACAGATACATATGTGAAAGTAATGGAAGATTCATCTTTAAGTAAGGGGATGGATTAGATGAGGTTCTTTACAAAGAAGGCAAAAAAATGCGGTATTTTATCAATAAGGACTCAGTTTAAGTATATAATCACTGACACTGGGTCAAGTACAGAGGAAGTTAGTGACAGGCCAGCAAAGGGTATAAATACAGGAAGGATTTTAAAATTTGTCAGTACTCCTTGTAGAGTACTATTATTCTTATTATGTAGAGTCTCATAATAGGGTGGGTGCTGGTGGCTCACACCTGTAATCCTGGCGACTCAGGAGGCAGACATCAGGAGGATCGAGTTTCGAAGCCAGCCAGGGCAAACAGTTTTTGAGACTGTAGCTCGAAAATACCCAACACCGAAAAAAAAGGGCTGGTGGAGTGGCTCAAGATGTAGGCCCCATGACTGCAAAAAAAAAAAAAAGGGGGGGCGGGGGAAGGAAGGCGTGTCATCATGTCTTCTATGTAATGGACAAGCTTTTCACTTATTTGTGGCATTCATAGTTATGGCTTTAGTATCTTGCCCAAACTTACCAAGACTTCTTTTTGTTCTTTCTTGAATAATTAAGCTGATGCTTTTTTTTTTTTTAACATTTTGATTTTAGATATCTGTTGCTTCTAAACTACTGAAAACTTCCACTGTAAAGCATTTGGATTGCTCATCAAGTATGTGGGAATGTGAAATCTTCCTCCTTGCTCTTGGCTTGGAGAAGCCCATCTTCTTTTATCAAATGTCAAAATCTGGATTTCACCACAGATTCTGAGTCAGACAGATCTCTCGTAGCCAGTGCCCTCAATCTTAATGGCTACTCTCAACGTGTCAGGCTACTCTCAACATCAGTGTCAAAATCTCAGGTGGATTTGCCAAATTTCCTAAACTTGAAAAAGCTGTAACCATGGCAACCTGAGGAAGAAAGAAATAACTACAGACGGCATCTTCAGACTGTACCCGATTTTAGGTATAGAAAACATTGGTGCAAATTGAGTATTTTGTGTGTGTGTGTGTTTGCAGTACTTCTAGCATGCTGGGAATGTGTTCCTCCCCCCAGTCACTCAGTTTGTTTTTTTTTTTTGGTATTTTGAGACAATGTCTTGCTATGTGGCCCTGCTGGCCTCAACCTCGAGTGCTGAAATTACAGGCATGTATTTCTATACCTGGCCAAAGATGCAGTTTTGTTTTTTTTTTTGGTGGGACTGGGGTTTGAACTCAGGGCTTTGCGCTTGCAAAACAGATACTCTATGGCTTGAGCCACACCTCCAGTCCACTGTGCTGTGGTTATTTTGGAGATGGGGTCTTGTGAATTATTTTCCTGGGCTAACCTTAAACCTCCATCCTCCCAATCTCAGCCTCCCATGTGTCTAGGATTGTAAGTAATCCATCAGTACCTAGACACACAGAGTTATAATGTTAAAGAGCAGATTACTAGGCTAGGGATGCAGCTGACTGAAACAGTGCCTGCCTAGTGTGTGTGAGGCCTGGCTTCAGTCCCCAGTACTGCAAAAAGAAGAATGAGGGGTGGGGAAAGTACACTGAAAGCAGGTTTCTTCTCAGATGCCCATCTGAAAAAAGGGCAGGACAGTAACTGTCCCACCTTTGGCTAATAGAGGAGTTTTCTGAGTATGAGGCAAGCAAACGCATTTCAAACACTCAGCGTGCTGTCAGCAGTGTTCATTCCATGCTAGCAAATGAACGGTGATCCCTGTAAAAAGTATGCCTACTCTACAAATGAGGAGACATGGCAGTGGCCCACATCACAAACAGCAGGGCTAATACCAGTTAGTTCACCACTCCAGTGTACACGGAGGCTGCTTTAGTGCCATTCCAGTGTTAGTCTACCTAATACTCTCTCTCTCTCTTCCATAGTTGTAGGGCTAGAAATGACAGAAAGACAATGAAATCCAGAGCAGTACAAAAATTGAGAGTTCCCCAAAGGGCCAAAGACCAGTACTGTGGCTGCCCACAGCACTCTGACATCTGAGCTATCTCATGGGTGTGACCATACACACCCAGGGACAAACACTAACAACCATGTCCAAAGCAGTGTCTCAGAGCAACCCCTCACTCCCATCTTTCACTTTGTATGAGCTAAAATGATCAAGAATCTGCACCATTTGGATTATTTATCACTGATTGCTATGAAGGGATATGGGAAGCTTTCATGAAAGAGGTGATGTGCGGAATGTACCATGCAGGGCTGTCCTAGAAAGGACGTCATAGAATGCAGTGCCAAAGGATTAGAGGTGAACTTTCTAATGTCTAGACAGAATGCTGCCAGCTACTGAGGTGGAGAGTAAAAACTAGATTTACTGTCCAGGAACAAAGACCAAAAGGCTGCCTTTATAGCTCTATGCCTCATCTGTTGCCTTGGGTTTCACAGCAGAAAGCGGTGAAGGGCAGAATCTAAAGAGCTGGAAACAAAGACACACACACTTCCAGGTGTGGATTTTTATTTTCACAAAAAGACAACAATGTCTTTCCACATACAAGTATTTACAAAACCCAACAGATTCATCAGCCTAGAATCTGGGTTTCTTTCCACTTCTCAACATAGTTGGGAACATGGAAACAGTAATAACCACACAATTCCCAGAGATGGAATCTATCCATCAAACAGTGCAGATTACCTAAAAGTGCACTTACCTGCACAACTCATTCTAAAAACCTGGTGATACAAACCTCACAGCCAAGGTTTCATTAAGCTATTTGGTTTCATACCATGCAAACCTGAACAAGTGTGTTGCTACCCGAAACTGAAAATCGGTTCTCAATTTACAATTAAAAAGGTTCTCAACACTTCAGCAACTATACAGAATATGAAGGTTTATTTCAAAAAAGATTACATTTTTTTTAAACCAGGATACACAGATGCACTTAATGTAACAGTACCTTCTGCAAAAATAGGTTACATAATACTCAGAAATGCAAGGAACAATCTTATTCTCAAAAGATTAGACAGCAGACTTTTTAAGCTTAAACAGCCTTCAAAATGGAGGCTGAAAATGCCTGATGACAAGAAGGAAGTGTAGAGCCTGACGCCATAGAGCTAACGCTGCAAATTAAACCACTACCACACGGTTGCAAACTACTCCTTGTATTCAAACAGTGTTAAAACGGGTTCCACCATTCCAATCTTCTCAAAATGTGTCTTGGTGCTGCAAGAAAAAAGGTTGAATGATACACAAAACTATTAAAAGTTACAACAGAACTCTTTAAACATCTTCTCTAAAATTGAGAAAAGCAATCATGTGAAATTTTTTAAAAAGAAAAAAATAGTTGGGACAGAACTCTCAAGCAGTCAGAGGTCCTCTTCATAAGTAGTCAAATAAAGTTTATAGGAGATTTCAATAAATTATCTTGAAACCATGGCAGAGAGCTTGTTTTCAAAATCGTCGTGGAGGTCCACTCTTGAATGGCTTAAATCCAGAGCCGCTGCTTCTTGGCATGGAATTGCCACTGATTTGTACAATTCTATTAATTGGGGATGCATTACTGAAAAAGTCAGAGAACAAAGAACAAACAATCAAACCAAATATTACACTGTACTTACCATTTACCAGGCAGTGTTCTCTTTTTATGGTGTAACTGGGGTTTGAACTCAAGGCTTTGCAAAGCAGGTGCTCTATGGCTTGAGCTGCACCCCAGTCCATTTTGTTCCGGTTATTTTCGAGAAGGGGTCTTGCAAACTATTTGCCCGGGCTGGCCTCAAACCGAGATCCTCCTGATCTCAGTCTCCCAAGTAGCTGGGATTACAGACATGAGCCACAGGTACCCAGCTGGCACTGTTCTTTGTGCTTTATCTATATTATTACCTCAATCTTTTCAGTACTACTATGACATATATATCACTACTTAAACCCTGCTTTACTGATGAAGAAATAGGCCTGGAAGTTAAGTAACTTGTCCAAGGTCACGGAACAGGAATATGAACTTGAGGATCCTCTGTCTAATGACCTGTTTCTTTAGAAGCACATGAATGGGCCACAGCAATGGTTTTCAGGTATGTGCATAGGTCAACAGCATCAGCACCAACCAGGACCATGTTACAAATGAAAATTCTCAGCCTCAGGTCACTTTATCTATCTATCTATCCATCCTTCTAACTACCTACCTACCTACCTACCTATCTAGATCTATCTATATTTACTAATAGATAGGATCTTGCTATGTAGTCAAAGCTGGACTTGAACCCCTGATCCTCCTGCTCTAGTTTCCAGACTAAAGGTATACCCCATCACCATGTCCACCTTCAATCCATGTCAGATCATGGATTGAAACTCTGGGGGTGGACTCCCAGTAATCTGTTTTAGTAAGCTCTTAAGAAGAGATTGTGCTGCACACAAGTGCTTGATGACCTCTATGGGAATCTTTATGTGTAACACAACATGGTAGATGCCAGAGTGTGACACAGGAAATAGTTCCACTACCCCAAAGCCTCTAATAAAACTGAAGATAAAAGCCTATAGTAAAATAATGGAAGTAGAGTAAAACCAGACTACAGAAAGATTTGAATGTCAGGATTGTGACCTAGTGAAGCTGCTTGTGAATGGTATAACAAAACGGTTAAATTTAGAATTAGTGTGAATAACGAAGCAGGAAAAAGGGAAGAGCAGACAGAAGCCAAGATGACGAAGAAGGGACGCCTATTACTAACATCTTTAAAAATGGAACACTTAGAAATGTATTCTAGGAAAGAAGAAACAAAGACCAGACCCATGTTTTTCTGGCTGGGGAGAGTGAGACGGTTGGTGGAATTGGCAGAGTAAAAGAAGATGAAGGCAGCAAAAGAGACATGAAGGTCTGAAACAGGAGAGGAATGGCTTTGCCTGTGACCTAAAATTTCTGGAGATACTTAAAGTCATTCATATGGAGACAGCAACACAGAGGTGACAACAAAGAGCAGTGGTCTGAAGCGAAGCGCCTTCAAATGAAGGAGCCAGAAAACAAAATCCAAAAGACAGAAAGAAAATGATGGTGCCTTTGAAAACAGACTCAGCCAGGCATCCTGGTACAAAACAAACAAAAAGAAAAGGAAGCAAAACAAAAAACAGAGACTTTCAAAAGGAGGGAAAGCAACACGGTGAAAAGAGCTTAACCTTATAGCTTAAACAGCCTCAGAACTAATGAAATGATCAAAAACAAGTCATAGGTGATCACTAAACACCAAACTCAGAACAAATGACGAGGCTGTGCAGGCACAACACTGAAGTTTGATGGCAGAAGTAGCCAGTTGGACAGCAATGATCCAGGTCAATCAGCCAAACCAGCATCTCCTCTGACACAGGAAATGGGAAGGGAGGAGGACGAGGAGGAGATGGACAGGCTGAATTGAAGGCTTGCTGGCAGAAGGGTCTCAACAGATGCTGGTGTGAAGAGGAAAAAACAGAGCTTGCAAACAGGCTTTGGGTTAAATGACTAAAAGTTCTGGAAATTATTTATAAAGGGAGGAAACAGAACACACCTCCAGTTTCTTCTTCCTTTCTACAAATTTCAGGAATGCTTGGTAGTGAACAAGACAGTTTCAACCTGAGTTTAATGTTGATTACCCACTGGATACTGGCACACATGTAGACTTACCTCTAGTATGAACTTGCAAGAATGCCAATCAATTGGGCTGGATTGTGGCTCAAACAGTAGAGTGCCTGCCTAGCAAGAGCAAGCCATGCAAGTTCAAACCTAACCCTAAACCCCGCCTCCCCACCCACCCACCAATCAACTTATAATGAGGAATACAAACTAGCAAATTAACACCAGCTGCCCTTACAATCTCTTGCAGATTCTGAGTTAATATGGGGAAATGTTTGGATAGATCTAGAGTTTTACCAACTGCAATTAGGAAATAATCTCAGAAATTACAGCAGCCTTTAAGGAAAGGATAGAGGTTTGGTTGTGTGGCAGCATTCACCTTGAATGTTGGGTTATCATGCCTGCTCCTGCCCGGCCATCACCCATTCGCCTTGC